TCCAGCACCCAGAGGGGTCCTGGCTGGGGCTCAGGGGAGCAGGGACAGCCCCGACCCCTCTCCTTTGCTGCCGGCCCCGGGAAGAGCCGTGGTGGCACAGGATGGGGACGCCTTTGGGGTGATGGTGATGCTCCCCCAAATCACAGCCCTGCTCAGCCTCCTGTGCGTGGGCTGAGGGGTCAGATCCCTCAGGGATCCAGCATTCCCTGTCTGGGCCATGCCCTTGTCACCCAGCAGCCCCCGTCACGCAATCACAGCCCCCCGAGGAGGGATCTGCTCTGACCGAGGGGAGAAACACGGAAAGAAAAGCCTGTTTGAGGCAAAAAACTCTCTTTTTAGCACCAAATATGGAGCGAAGGGAAGAGTCAGCGCCGGGGATGCATTATTTATACCAATTAAATATATATACACACACGTCTCGAGCCTGAACCACCGATCCAGCAGCGAGGTGGGAATGACAGCGACAGGAGATGAAGGATTTAATTAAAACCACTCCACAAACCACAGCAAGAGAAGGATGGGGGGGGGAACCCCCTCTCACATCCCCACGTGGGCTGGGGGGGATGTGACACTGCCCTTGGTGTCCCCAGGGCTCATTCCTTGGCTTTGGGAGGGGCTGTGGAGGGGGGGACCACTGAGCCTGGGGAGGGGGGAGGCTGGTGGCAGCGGGGACACCGATGCCAGGCCTGGAGCCCGGCAGTGCCAGAGGGGCTGGAAGGTCCCTGGATGGCAGCCGGGAGGGTGTTAATTATTGATGAGGCAAAACACGGTGAATTATTGATGCCAGCGGGCAGAGAAGCGGAGCGGGCGCCGTGCAAAGGGCTGGGCCTGCAGGAGGGGGCACGGGGCACCCACTGCCACCCCCCTGGAGGAGGAGAAGCGTGTTCCCAGCTGGGAATCCTATGGGTAAATCCCAGTGATCCTTCAGGAGCAGCCCCTCAGCTCCCCCGAGCAGCCTGACAGGGTTACAAGCACCGGGCTGGAAGATCATGCCAAGGAAAAGGGGGCAGGATGGGAGTGCAGGGGTCCCTCTCCATGGATTTTAGCACTCATTCCATCTGGGAATGCCAACACCAGACCCTCCTCAGTGACCCCCACGGACCCAAACACACCCAGGGACTGGACAGGCTCCCGGCTGCTCCAGCCCCAGCACAACCCCCTGCTCGAGGGTTTTCCCAGGAAAACCAGCCTGTTTGCTCCAGGCAGGCCATGCTGGTAACAGTTCCCTTGGCAAGGCCGGGGTGGTTTATCCAGGGAGTGCTGCCAGCCCTGGGAACAGCAGCCAGTGTTTGATTCTCACCCAGCTCTGTCGGGCACAGTGTCCTGACTCCCACACACACCCCACCAGGATCGGGTCCTGGATGTAGGGATTGGGAATGAGCAGAGCTGGGCCTGGGGGCTCCTTCTCCTTTGGGGCTCCCCTGGCACTGGGCAGGGCAGGCCCAGCTCTCTGTGGGATCAATAACCTCTTCCTGGACACAAACCCATCCGTGCAGGATCCGGCTGCACCGAGAGCCCTCTGGCTCCCTGGGTGCTCCAGGGATGGACCCATCCAAGCTGCTGAGCTTGGAGGTCTTGGAGCCCTGGGAAGGAGAAGCCAAATCCAGAGCTGGCTGGCAGAAGTTGTGCTTCCAGTTGGGAGCTGGGCCCAAGGAACTGGCACCAGCCTGGCTGGAGCCCCAGCCGGAGGATGCCCGGCTGCCCTTGCACTGCCTGTGCTCCGTGCCAGCCTTGGGAGGCTCTTGGGCCCTGAACTCTGAGCTGGGAATGCTGAACAGAGGGATGGGATGGGCAGAAAACAGGCAGACGGGGAACTGAGGCAGCCCCTGAGCCCCTGCATCCCGCACAGCCCCAGGTATCAGCCCATGGATCCCCACAAAGCCTGTCCTGGCACTGAGCCCCCACTCCACAAGGTCCCGGGGATGTCGGTGTGGATTATAACCAGGAGCCCTGGCCAGCCCGCCCCGACATTGATTAACTCCTCGGGATTAACTCAATTAGTCCCTCCTGTTCATTCCCAGAATTGATCTGCTGGAAGGCTCTGGCAGCCAGGAGCTCTGCAGGCACATCCAGGGGCTCAGGCTCCGGCCTTGGAGCTGCCCCCCGGCATCCCTGGTGCTGGGCAGGAGCCTGGATCCCTCTGCCAGAGGGTGATCCCACTCCAAGGGGGGTATCCGAAGGGGGATCCCACTCCAAGGGGGGTATCCGAAGGGGGATCCCACTCCAAGGGGGATCACTTGGATACACCCAGGCTGGAGATCATGGCCTGGGATGTGGCCGTCTCTGACCTGTATCTGATCAACCAAATCACGGAATCGTGGAATCCTTAAGGTTGGAAAAGCCCTCTGAGGTGATGGAATCCAACCATTCAGCAGCCCCACGGAGCCGTGTCCCCGAGTGCCACATCCACACCCGCCTTCCGAACACTTCCAGGGACAACACGGAGCTCATCCCGGCCGGGGGCGTTCGTGGGAGCGGGAGGGACGGGAGGTGAAGCGGCTCCCGTGTCGGGCCTTGTTTTGGGGCCGGGAAGCAAAAGATTCCCGTCTCCCACCTCCCACACACCTCCTCGAACCCGGCGCTCCGTCTGCCGCCGAGCAGGCAGCCAGAAACATCCAGGGATGTTCCCCGGGCGAGATGAAAGGGGCTGGAAATGAAAGCAGATGGATGCGAGGAACTTTGCAGGGCTGCGGGTAACCATGGCGACGAGCTGCTTCCCCCCCATCCCGCTCCCTCCATCGCCGCTCCCGGCTGGGAGCGGGATTTCGGCACCGGTTACATAAGGCCAGGCACAACAATGAGTCAGGCACGGCGGGATCCTGCCCTGGGATCCGTCCCATCCCTGTCCCGAGGGCTTGGCAAGGCGGTGGCATCGCCCCGAGGCCGTACCC